CTAAAATAATAATAGCATCACAAAGTAATTAAATGGTTCAACAAAAAAGTTTACCTCTCTATCCAATCTATTGGCAGCAACTAATTGGTTGGCAGCTTGTAGAATATCTGTGATATTCTCATCAGGGAATCTTGCCTTCATTAGTATGTGATTTCTCAAATCCACCAGGACTTGATGATGTAAACGAATGTGATTTCTCAATATGGATGATGTAAATTTTATAGCATGTAAAATTTAGATCATAGCACTCAAATTGTAAATATAAAAGAAGAGAATTACTGGTATAAAACTGTGTAACTCAAGGTACAACACATACCACCGTAAAAATACAAAAACATGAAGAACCCACATTGATTCCTATTAAGGAAACGAAGATAGGCTTTTTTTTTTCTTTTTTGGTATAGAAAATAGATTATTTAAACAGAGATAATAAATCAGAAAATGAATTCAAAGTTATCAATCCACACATAGCTAAGAATTCTAGAAATTTCCATTTTCTAAATTCCATAAGAGCCTTGCATAATATAATCCAATCACAACTAAAAACTAATTCTTTCCAAAACCCAATCAGACAACAAGCATTATAAATTGGCAGGATTAGATATTAATAGAGGTGCAACACCAATTTGAAGTTGAAGTAGCTAATAGTATTACATTACATACAGAAATTAAAACAAAAGTTCTGCAACTGTTTTTTGTTCAATGTAAAATGAAAAATTTGTAATGAACCAAAAAAAAAAAAAAAAAAAAAAAAAAAAAAAAAAAACCACACACACAAGGAAAGAAATTAGCTTATCCATCGGTTTCTCTTTCAACATCAGTCTCTACTCCTGGATTTGTTAATTGGGTGGTCAAGTCTTTCTCAATTATTTAGCATTTGGAAGAAAGAAATGAAGTTGATCGAGTAAACACTGAAAAAGCGTAAGATAAAACAATGTGATGAGAATGTTTTTATTAAACAAGTGAAAGACAAATTTTCAGTTAAAACTAATTCATTTAGGCATTGCAAGGAACTCTGAAATATAAAATATTAACATCAAAATACATTCTGTATGAAGGAAAATAGGTTAACTGGACAGTTAGATATAAGAAATAAGTCAAAGAATTCAAGGATATTATAACACAAGCTAAGAATTCTAGCAGTAATTTGCATTCTACTGTCTGCTTTAAAACAGAAAATAGAAGCTAGAAAGTAAAAGAAATGAAGTATTACCATTGTAGCACGTGTTTTATGTCTTCTCTTCCCCCATATCATCACCTTGGACCAGATAAGATAGATGAAATCAGTGGAGAAGCAGTAACTACAACTGCATCCATTTGGTGTCCGAGAGTTTCCACTTCAGCAAGTCCTGGTGGATTTGAGAAATCACATTCGTTTACATCATCCATTTTGCCCTCTAGGAACTTCACTACCATGGACATTGAAGGCCTCTTATCTTATTAGTATTTATTACCTTATTAAAAACATAGAACTCTAGTAACATACAGATATCAAAAGGGAAACAAATAGTGTAGCTGCAGAATGTGAATTTCCAAAGCACACGTCTTCTCTTCAACTCACCAATTCAATCAGAACAAGGATGTGAACAGGCTTGCTTCAGAGGTCATGGAGCATGCATGTTAACCAAACTATACAAAACCGTGGCAAGCAAGAGATGTAGATATGAGCATCTTTTGTAAGTTACTGAATCAAACAGTATGTAGAAATCAACTTATATAAACCAATGTAACTTATTAGATAGTTATGTACTAGTTGATAACCTTTAATTTTTAAAATATGAACGAAAGCAAGAAGCATGATAGGTTGGAAAATAAGGTACTGCCCAAAACAGCATCATGTTTTTTACATGTGATTTCAAAATTTCAAAAAAAGAAGATCAGT